AGCGGGACGAAGCGCGGGCCGGGGGAGACTCGTTCCTTCACCATGAGGCCGCCGAAAGTGGTGCCATGGCGGCGGCTGGCGGGGGTCTCCTTCGGGATGTACACGGCCGAGGAGATCAGGTGAGGCCCGCAGGGCGGGTGTCCGCTTCCCTGGGCGCTGCTGAGGACTCCAGCTCCCGGTGTGCCCCGCGCCGGCGGGCCTCGGCGGGCGGGAGGCGCGCGGCCTGCGGGGACGGGACGTGTGGCTGCGCCGCGGCCCTCAGCAGCGCTGGGATAGCGGCAGCTGAGTGTACCCCCTGGTTGCTGGGGGGCTGCGAGGTCGCTCAGACCTGTTGCGTGGCCTGGGGCTGCTGGAGGTTGTTGGAGGAGTGGGGAAGGGCTGTGAGTCTGCGGGGGAGATTTCTTGAAGGGACCTGAGGGAAACGGTTTCACTGAGGGCAAATGCCGGGGGCTGCCCTTGGGCCACAACCCCCAGCAGGGCTACAGGCTTGGGGAGGAGTGGCTGGAGAGCTGCCAGTCAGAGAGGGACCTGAGGGGTGATTGACAGCCGGCTGAACAGGAGCCAGCAGTGTGCCCAGGGGCCAAGAAGGCCAATGGCGTCCTGGCTTGTGTCAGCACTAGCGTGGCCGACAGGGAAGGGATCTGACCCCTGTACTCGGCACTGGTGAGGCCGCTCCTCGATTCCTGTGTTCAGTTTTGGGCTCCTCGCCCTAAAAAGGCCATTGAATGACTCGAGCGTGTCCAGAGAAGGGCAACGGAGCTGGTGCGGGGTCTGGAGCACAGGTCTGCTGGGGAGCGGCTGAGGGAACAGGGGGGGTTTAGTCTGGAGAAGAGGAGGCTGAGGGGAGACCTCATCGCCCTCTACAGCTCCCTGAAAGGAGAGTGCAGAGGGGGGGGATGAGTCTCTTAACCAAGTAACAAGCGATAGGAAAAGAGGTAATGGCCTCAAGTTACGCCTGGGCAGGGTTAGACTATATATTAGGAATCGTTTATTTCCAGAAGGGGCTGTTGGGCGTTGGAATAGGCTGCCCAGGGAGGTGGTGGAGTCCCCATCCCTGGAGGGGTTTAAGATTCAGGTTGACCCAGCACTGAGGGATCTGGTGGAGTTGGGAACTGTCAGTGTTAGGTTGATGGTTGGACTGGATGATCTTCAAGGTCTTTTCCAACCTAGATGATTCTATAATTCTGTGAAATGGTCTGTCAGGAGGCAGGGAGGTGGCGCCGGTCCTCTCAGGAGAGTGTCTCGCTGGCAATGGGGTTGGGGGGAACAGGACTATTTGTATGCGCTGCCAGGGTCAGATGGCTGTGGGGTGCAGCATAAACTCACTTTGTGAGGGTGAAAGCTGCACCTCTCTTGGGGAGCTTCCCCTGAGAGGGTGTGTTGGCTTCCCCCCACCTTGCACCTCAGTGCCAGCAGGGCCTGCCAGTGCCTGGAGAAGCCCTGTGGTGGTGAGGTTGGGCTTGTTCCTTGGTGGACGCATGCCTGGAAACCTGACCTGGATCTGAACCTGAGTGTCTGACATGGAAGAGACCTTGCTGGTTTCAACGAGGGGAAAATGATCAGATATTTTAGCACCAGTGTGAGTATTACAGAGCTGAGATCTTTGTTGCAGAGGGCTTTTGTGCAGCTTTTTCCAGCAGGTTATCTCTCCTGGAGTTCTAGAGTGCTGTCAAAGTTTCTTTAGTGTTGGTGTGATGTTAGCATTCTGTATAGTCAAGGATGTAAGATTGTTGTTATCTAGGTGATTTTGCTGCTTTTATACCTCCCTCGCTGCTTGAGAGGACACCGACAAATTTACCTGACTTCTTAATGTAACGGCTGAAGATGTAAAAGAAATATTTGCTGTGGTATGCATGATTGTATTCTGACAATGAAGATAATGATACAGAAATGCCTGCTGCATGCACAAAGTACCCTCAAAAAACATGCTTTCATCAATTAAAAACATCATATAAATACTAAATGTCAATGCTAGTTGTACCATTAAAGTGTATATTATGGCTGTTTGCTGCCACTGATTTTTGTTCTGTTCTTTCAACTTCAGGAAACTGAGTGTAAAACCCATAACAAATCCTCAGTATTTGGATAATGTGGGGAATCCAGCCACTAATGGGCTCTACGACTTGGCTTTGGGACCTCCAGACTCTAGAGAAGTGTGTGCAACTTGTGTACAGAACTTCAGCAACTGTCCTGGTCATTTTGGCCACATAGAACTGCCTCTGACTGTCTACAACCCTCTGTTTTTTGATGTATGTATGCTTAATCATTGCCTTGCTGATGAAATGGGTGATGATGTTCAACCTATCATACAGTTTGTAGTCCTTGAAGGTAGAAAAGATGCTGAGATCTGTTTTCTCTCTAAGTTTAAATGCAATAATAGCAGATGTAGTAGAAAAAGTTTGTTGTGTCATGGTAGTTCAATACAAATAGACTCCTTAGACTTTTGCAAAATACACACTTTGTTGTAACTATTATTTTACTCAATATTGATGAACAAGAGAGGGTGAATGCTGATCACTAAACTATATGTCTGACTGTAGCATTTCATGCCTGAATAGATGGCACAGTAAAAATTGTTAGGTGTTTCCTTTAAATGACTAGTACAAACTTACATGAACAGTTACCTACTTTTACCCTAGGATCTCCAACTGCTTCCTGGACATTCAGGGCTTGTTTTTGCCCTGAGTGTCTGTGCTGTTCGTTCTGCCCAACAGGTTCTCTTATTCCAGAATAATTTATTCTAGAAACATGGATCAGTGTGGATAGAAACCGACAAACCTTTCCAGTAATATGCTGAGTGACACGTATGTGCCAAGTAAATGGAAGAATATAGTGTTATAGGTTTGGTGACAGCAGAATTGAAAAATCCTAAGCTATATAGAAATCCATCAGTCTTTAATTTAAAAAAAAAGCTGTCGGGAAGATTTCTTACAACTGGAAGTCAGACCCACATGATTCTCAGCTTTACAACTGTGGCATTTACATGATATGTGGGATGCCTAATGTAGAGCAGAGATTTGACTTGTGCATCTTTTGGGATAGATGCTATAACTTGTTATGAAAGCTACTGGTGATGGCCAGACTACACTTGTCTCCTAAGTGTTTCATTTAAGTGTTTTTTTGAAGGGTCATCTTTTAAATATGAAAGGATTCCTGGCTCTTAGAGTAGGATTTGCCTTATTCTGGTCTTCTGAAAATTAGATGCATAATCTGATTGTACTTTTTAGCTCTTTCTGGAGTCTGAGGAGTGGGGATATTGCAGAGGAAGGTTCATCTAGCCTGTAACAGGCATCTGAGCTGGGATGAATTTCCCCCCTGACATGCTGACCTCTCCATTTACAGTAGCTGGCTCCTCTATAAGCTATTAATTGAGACTAAAAACGTTACTTTCAGATGATTGAAGTTAGATGAGGTTCATCCCACTTTTAGTACTGTCCCAGCTTTGAGTAAAATACTTGTATTTGATCAAGGAATAAAATCATGTAGCAGCAATTTCTAGCCTTCAAGTCACTGGTGCCATGTGTTGCTAGAGTGAGTTGTGTGCAGAGCTATGCTGAATAATAAAAACCACTGATATTTTCCAAAAGTTTGAGCAGAATGTGGTTGCACGAAGAATCTTGAGGGGCACTGATAGTAGTTGTGACCAGAATGTTCATAGTGTGGAGTTTTGGGTGCTACATTGTCCTTTATGGGACAAGCTGTGAGAAACTGTAATCACAGTGCTACATAAGAGCAGCCTTGGCCCCAGAGTTGCTGTAGATCTAACAGTCTTTTCCTGTTATGTAAATAGTTTGTCTGTTATGTAGATAGTTTGTTGACAGATCATGCTTTGCACCTGAGTTTGTGTGGTTGAAATAA